GGGCGAATCCGGCCCGTCGAAAGCCCTTCCTCGATGAACGCGTCGAGCTCGCGTTGCTCGAGGGGCGAGATGGGGTACACCTTGCAGTTGGTGGGCTTAGCGTCGGGGACGAGTTCGATGGCGTGGTCCCAGGTCCTCCACTCCGGTAGCGTGTCGAAGGACTCCTTGTTGAAGACATCCTGGAACTCCTTAGCCCAGTCCGGGATCTCGGAGGGCGGAGGGGCAGAGTTCCTGGCAAAGGCTTCGGCCAGGCGCTGCGAGACGGTGCTACCTGCGCGTATCTCCTCCGAGGGGCGAAACGAGGTGTAGAAGATGCGGTCACCATCTTCGAGCTGGTCATCTTCGTCATCCGAGTCCGAGTCCGGTGTCAGATCGGGCAGGTCGGAATCGAGACCGGAATCGGAATCGTCTCCGTCCTCAGGGCCAGAGAGGTCCATAGTGCAAACCGACGGGAACGGGCCGGAGCGGAGACGCCTCTGAAGCGACCGGAGTCGCCACAGCTCGGTTCGTTCGACGTGCTCTTCCTCACGGCAGGTCGAGCAATTGCGGGGGGCACCGTGTCATCTTGACCTCCTTGGTTTCCCAATTGATCTCTGGGTTATGTTTCCGTAACCAGGAGTACCCCAGGATGAGGTCTTGCTTGCCAAGATGAGTGACGGCCAGTTGAACTCGTTCGGCATGGCCCTTGTAGCGTAGGACCAAGTCCGCGATCTGTTTGATGGAGCCAGCGTCATTGGGGGTGCCATCGACATTGAAAACCGGAATCGGCTGATCGAGGGTGCGGACCGGAATGCCATTCCGAGCAACATAGTTCGTGTCAATGAAGTCGGAAGTGGCACCGCAGTCGACAAGCCCCGAGAGCGAGAGCTTCAGCGCGCTGGTGGTGGACTCTAGCTCCAACGGGAGGTGGAGGGAGTTCGCCCCAGGGGCGGCGGCAACAGTGTACTGCTTGGGCAGTTTCTTTTCCCAGGCAGTGAGGCGGCGAAGGACGATGACCGGAGTCGCGGGCAGAGTCGGAGACGGAGTCAAGGCAGGGCAGGGGGAGAGGGTGTGTCTTTCGTTTCGGGCTCATTGTAGGGCAAGGAACTGCATTCATCATACAAGGAGGCAAAACGATTTATAGACGCGAACGAGGGCACACCAGTCACTCGTCGCGGGGGACAAAATCCTCTCCGGCCATCAACTCCGCTACCGTCTCCGGCAGGGCAGCTGTGTCCGTGTAGCGGGCGATCAACTCCGCTAACATCTCGTCACCGAGTTGTTGGATCACCTCGTCGAGGATGTCCATCGAGCGGACATCGGCGGGGGGGGCAATCCCGGGCGAGATGGTTTGGGTCGCCGCACCTGAAGCAGACGCGACGAGGGGCACCCCGAGCCCTGGTGCGGTCCAACTCCATAGGGACGGGAGCTGGAGGCGCCGGAGCGGGGGCGCGGGCCGCGGGTGGCACGACCGGAGCCACCGGGCGGAAGGGGGCTGGAGCCAGGATGCGGTTGACCGGAAACGGAGTCCGATTCAAATGAAGCAGTGGTTGAGCTTGGGGAGGGCGAGGGCACAGATGAGCAGGGCGCAGTGTGGCTCGTCCGCGTGGTCGGTAACGGCGATCGACCGTAGATTTGGGAGGAGTGTTGAGTGCTCGGGGAGGACCGGGACTGGGTGCCAGTGAGCCGTGAAGATATAGATGGCGAGCTCTTCGAGGTGGGTCAGGACGGAAAGTGCATCAAGCAGTGGTGTCCGAGTCTCGATATAACAAGCAAGTTTCAGACTGCAGAGCTTCGGGCCTCTGTGGTATAGAAGGGGTATGGGCGCGTTGAGATGCAGAAACTGGAGACTGGGGTACAGCAGCTCAGGGCTGGCGGACGTGGAATATGCGCCGGCAATCCCGGTAATCGACACAAGGGGGGTTCAAGATCCTTATCAGGCACATGGGGTAGGGGGGAGGGGGGGGGGGTCCCCGGGGGGTAAAAAAAACTTTTTTATATATAAAAGATTTGGGCCTTATATGGGTGTAAAGACACTGAAAATATAGTGTATACACTCTCATTTCTATAGTTCACAACCCCCATACTTATATCTATATACTTTCAGGCCCATGAGCCTGGATAGTACACCCTATCACAGGCCCATCATCAGGTAATAAATGAGAGGTGAACATATTGAACAGTGATATGGCCTGCCATGTGTATTTAAGGGTTCCAGGTATATAGATACCTACACACATACATATACAAATATATAATTTTTTTTGAAAAAAAAAAGTTTCATAAAGATTAAATTTTTTATGCCAATTTTTGATCGCATCAGTGGTCACATGATGCTAATCGTGTGAACATATTACCCTATATGGCAGGAGGGGGGGAGGGGGGGGTCCCCGGAGGGTCGGAAAAAAACTTTCCGACCCTATATCCGTGATTCGGATCTTGAACCCCCCTTGAATCGACATCTTTGTCAGTAGCGGAAACCCGCCGCTGAGGGCTCGGACGAGGCAATAGTCGTCCGTGTGGCTGTAGAGGCGGATCTCCTTGATCCGTGGCCACGCGAGCTCCAAAACGGCGCCGACCCGCTGCGGCGTCGTCGCCTGTCGGCGGGCGCTGATAAACGCGGTCACATAGCATTCCACAATGAGAGGACTGGACTTGGAGCGCCGGACGCATTTCTGCACCCATTTGGGGGTGGAGAAGTTGACTTTGGCCCAGAGAGCAGGCGTGGCCAGCGCGACCTGGCGCCACCGGACGCACACCCGGCTGCATTCGAAGAAGGAATAGGCCCCCTGCGGAACGGCGTTGACACATGTTTCTATGAAGATTTCCGCCAGAAGCTCTGGAGGGAGGACATGGATTGGCGCTTGCGATTGTGCTACGGCGCGCCGACTGAGCACGGCGCTGTCGTCCGCGTCGTCTGCGATTCCCTCCTGGAGCATCGAAACGGTGAGTTCGCCCTTGGCTTTTGCCCTTCGAGACCAGTTGTGCGGGAGCATTGCACGCAGGGCTTGAATTACATTCAGTAGATAGCTCTAGAGTTTGGGTGGGCGTACTCTTCCTGGCCGTTCTTATGGCTTTCATCGACGCTCAGTCGCAAGATTGACGGGTGGGCCGAAAAGGGAAATCGGACCATATGGGCTTATTGTTATTATTATTATGTCAAGTCACATGTAATAATGCAAATGCATGTGGAGAAGGTCTTCGGGGACACGTCGCGCCGCATACCAACACGACACGCCCTAATCTCGTGCCCAGATCATTCGAGGGCGTGACTTTGGGGCAGCGATCACTGCATCACGTCGTAGAAAGTTCTAGAGGGACGTTTTCCATCACTGATACCAACAATCAGTGCCCCGAGCACGTGCTCCGCGCAGCGGAGCGGAAAACGGCCCTCTACGAACGCCTGGAACCGAGACTAGACACGCCCGCGGCCCGACGCGCCTGTGGCTCGACATCAGACCGTGTTGTCCGGGGTCCTACAAGAGATCGGCCCGAGCACGTGATCTCACCGATCCCTCTTCTCCACTTCCACCAACTATGGGTCCATGGCCCAGTTCCGCGTCTGCAACAACTATAGCCGTGCCTGGGGAGCCGGGCTGCATGTGACAGGTGGCGCCCAACGTAGTGCGTCGTTTGGAAAGGCAAGCAAATGGGAGGTTGGGAGCGCTGGTGGGAGTAGGAGGTGCGTCTGCTAGCGCTATCTTCATCTTCTCGTCAACGAGGTCGCCGAACTTACAAACAAGCCAGTACCAACTTTCGGCAGCGTATTTGCCCGTGCCTTGCATTCCCATCCCCAAGTAGCGCCATAATGGATGTTGGCGTGGCAATACCTCTCCCCGGCCCTTGACACTGTTCGGAGTCATCTCGGCGTGGAGAGGTTTTCGACGAACTACGGGCTCTCTCTCAGGGTGTGCTTAGAGACTCAGGTGAGTCATGCCTCTCACTTGCTGCCGACAACATGGTCCTGACCTGCTCCAAAGCGCTTCCCACTGCCCATTGTCTTGTTCCTTCTTCATCGCCGTCGCCACCGCCAAGCTTCAAACGCCAACGGACCCGCCAAAGCCTTCTCAGTCTGCTCGCGCAGCAACTCCGCAAAGAGGCACGACCACGGCGACTTGCGCGTGGTCATATCTGCATGCAGCACAACCTCCCTGGCACACAAGTACTGCTCGCCATGAAGGGTTTAAGACCCTCCCAACTCCTCTGCTTGTTTGCGGACAATGCGTGTCTTCCATCCCCTATTACATGCTACTTGTCAATGGACAAGACCACCCGCCCTCGAATTCCTCGTGCTTTTCTGCCGCTTACCCTTTGAAGACCACATATTTTGCCCAATTGTGCGCTGGTACACCTCCGCACTCTTACGCTATCATCTCCTTCTGTCAATTCAAGTCGCCCTCGCGCCAGTCTTCCTCGGTTCTTCGTTGAGCAAAACAGCATATCCTGCTGCTTAAATCCCCGCCGCGACCTCATCTCCGCGTCAGCGTAACAACGCGACTGGCTTCGAGAATCGACAGAGAAAAGATGGGCAATCTAGGCCAAGCTTGTGGACCCTCAGAGCCACCTCAGCTATGGAATAGACCTTGACTATACTTCCATGCTCCCTTCTCGCCCCTCCCCCGTCCTCCCCACCTACGCCAGCACCCTCCCCATGCAATCGGCGTCGACTTCCCAAAATGGCAGTCACGTGCTCACTCGCCGACCAAAAGGCAGAAACATATCTCGCACAACGCGCCAGCTGGCGCTCTATGGAGTGTATCTCTATATGCCCCATACCTATCCCCTCCTACTTAATTCTTTCTGCCCCCCTTTTGATGGACAAGGCCGCTGTCGAGCGCGTTTTGTCTTGCAGCCATATGGGAGGCATGGGTGACATTTCTTCGTTCAAGGGCAGCATACGCGTCGGCGTCGTGGGGCGATAATCGAGAGGAAGTCTCGAGCGGATTGTGGAGGGGAAGCTCTTGCACTTTCAAGTATTGGAACAGTATTCATCGGTACCAAACCACCGGGACCACGACTTATTATGTAAATTCTGTCTCCCGAATGGCCATCTCCGCCTCTGCAGAGCGCGGCTTTATCGAGCACGCAAATGGGACCGGTTGCCTGATAAGAGCTCAGCAACTCGGTTGTCGACAGAGCGTTACTAGTCGCACCGGATAAGACCTGAAATAAACTCGAATTCGGGCTCGATGACAACACCATTCTCGTCGACGGCCCTCTGGACATCTAAGGAGGCGAGTATCGACGTGATGCTGATCCACAGCGAGGCGAGACCGAGACGCTGGCCTGCACAAACGCGGCGTCCGAACCCGAAGCCAAATTCCCAGCTGCCGCTGTGCATGTCCGGGTTGAGCGCGCCGGAGGGGAGGAGCCAGCGCTCGGGACGGAACGAAGTCGGGTTTGGGTATTTTTCCTGCGGAAGAGTGAGCAGGCATAGGTGGAACACGGGAAAGATGCCTCGTCTTGAAGAATTGCCCTTCGAGACCATAAGAATGGAAGGGCTAAAGAGGACCGACACCCACCAGATGTTTCCTATAACGACGGATTGTGCAGGGATTCGCAACCCCCGATACTCGTCCTCGACCTCGATGAAATGCTGGACTAGAAGAAAGCAGTCAGTTTTCGCTGCCCTTGCATGCTATATGCACCTAATGGCACAGTCGGCTCCCAGCGGAACAGCTCCCGCATAACCGCAGAAACATACGGCATCATGATCGTGCTCTCCGCATCCTCCAACAGCTCGAAGGTCGGCAGCCGCCCGCCGCAAACAGCGTCAATCTCCGCCTGGGCCTTGCGCTGCGCGTCCGGGTTAGACAGCATCGCCATCAGGAACTTGCCGACAAGCGCCACGGTGGTGTGGGTACCCGCACTGAACGCGGTCGCCGCAGCGTTCTTGATGGTTTCGTGCTCTGATGCGGGGGCGGAAATTAAATGGGAGGCTGTAAATGAAGGCCGGGCATCGCCGTTAAGCTTGGTGATGGTTAAATGTTCACCAGCCAGCGCTAAGACGATAACAGGACGACACACCATTTGCCTCCTTGTCTCGTCGAACGGTAGATTGACGAACTTGGTGGATAGCTTTCGCCATTCCCTGGCAATCCGCTTGAAACTTGCTCCGGGCATCCAGTATGGTACATGAAGCAGAGTTGGGAACATGTTCTGCGTCAGAAGTCAGAAGTAATCACACTAACCCGAAGATAGCTGACTTACAACAAGGAAGCGGATGGGCGAATGCCCATGGACTAGACTGTTAAGAGCAGCTTCTGCTGTCTCCACATATGGATCGTCCTTGGGAAGTACTTGGATCCCATAGACCGTCGATAGGATGATTTCTCTTGCCATACTAGGAAATTGTTTGTGAAAATAACAACCTTTGGAAACGACTCACTGTCGGATGTGCTCCAGAGGCTGACCTGGATCGTCGAGAAGACGGCGCAGGAGCCCATGACACGCAGCGCGCTGGTGTGAACGATATTTGGTGACGCCGTCGCTGTTGAAGTCTTGATGACATAATTTTCTGAGTGTGCGCCTTCAAGGTTGACATGTGTAAGTTTTTCATTTCAGCCACGGAGTTTTGGAGGCCATACCATTTCTCTCCTACATCGATGATAAGCGGATCATGGATGAGATAGGAGTTAGCAGTTATATTATATATATATGAGAGGGGATAAGGCCGCAAGCGGCAGAGAGCCGAACCGTGACTCTGCTGGACGCATCATGTGATCCTTGTGATGCCGTCCCAATAAGGATAATCAAAACACAGCCACTCCCAATTTGGGGGGGCTGGTTTTCATCTTCACATATAGAGCCGAAACTTCGGTTCGGCAATCACACACCATACTTCATAAATGCTAGGTACCGTTAGCTGGTGGCCACAGACTAGAACATATTGCGCACCAAAATTAAAATCCCATCCCATCAGTTCATTCAACATTGGCGCGCGCGGTCTGGGAAGAAGTCAGTCATAGGAATTAGACCAATTCCTCGAACCTGTCGGAGTATATGGTCGATCGTTTCTCCAGAAGATCAATGTTGGCCTCGAGGGAAGAGAGGACGACGACAGACATCCCAGCGACGTCGAGGTGGATGATATCGGAGTCTGCAGCTTGGTGAACACGAGAGTAAGCTGGTAAAATACTCACTGGATTCCTGACTGAACCGCCCAAATGTTTCCCATTCGAAGCTGGACGGCATATGGAGGAGATTGCCGAGCAGAAACAGTTTGCGTGGCCCTGGAGGCAAAGGAAGCAAGCCTCGCTGCCGTCGGCGAAATACTACCGCGAGAGCGCCAGCGGAAACGAGGAGGAGCAGGGAAGGGACGTCGAGGAACATTAGCAGGAATCTAGGAGGCGAACCAATCCAGATATAGTCGCACCCACGCGGCTTTAGCACCCCATTACTCGGGACGAACTCAGTGGCATTTGACCCCGCCCACATGATTATTGTTGGCGCGATCCGCGATTCTATTCAAGGATTCAGCAATCACCGAGCGCCTCCGAGAGCTCAGGCTCTGATTTGGAGAACATCGACAGATTGCCGAGGTGGTGTAAAACTTGGAAGCTTCTCGTTTGGGTGAGTCCGCTATAAGAAGGCAACTTCAAGTTGATGGCTTGGAGGTAGTTGTTTGCGGCGGGCCGCGGAGTTGGATGCGACAAGCTGAGTGTCTTCGAAAACTGGATTGGAATCAGGACTCGGAGCTTGGTAGTACGAGACAGACCCTAGGCCGAGTCAACTTGGGATGGTAGGCGAATGGCAGGATACTTATCCTACATAAAATAAGACCCCCTAGATTTCAAGAGAAACAAGGGCGCTGTTACCCGTGCCTGGGCGAATCAGCAACTTGAAGTTGGCACTTAACCATGATGGTGCGTGAGCGATGGATATTGGCAGGGCGATGGTAGTATGTCGTTCCTTGGAATGAGCTTCTCGCCCCATTGTGCATGAGTCGAAACGATGGTTGGTCCAATTTGTCGTCACGGCAAGAGGGAGAAAATGTGATGATTACATCATCTCTTCTTCTTGGGAGCCACCACCATGTGAGCATAGTATTCCACATGTACAGTAGCTCACCCGTATTGCCAGCGCATGGCAAAACGAACAAGCTGGTCCCATCCCACCACCCGAAGCGCCAAGACCACCAGTGCTGAAATCCATCGTCTTCGATTCATTATCCGCCTTTTTTCTTCCTCTTCTATCAACGATTGCGCGAAGTTGAAACTTCGAGGCATCGATATCTTCAGGCAGAAGGACTTCGTGGCAAGACTCGGACTTCAAACAATGATAGGTTCGCAGCAGCGGGATGTCGTTTTACCCTCATGATCACTGACTCAATTACTAGTATAGCCTGGCGTCTACAGACGTGTATCTGTCAGCACCGTCTCACTCAGCAACGCTCACTCATCGCTAACTTGAGTAAGCTTGCTTGAGAGCAGGTATACAATCGAGGATAAAACCGTCTCGCAAGTTTACCATCGCCACTGGCCAGCGCCTTCCTCGGCGACGAACCCACATACAACCCACATAAATGGCTACAAGTGCGAAAATACTCCCGATATTCAGTGGCACGTCTGCCGCGGAGGAGGTTGCTGACGCGCTGGCGAGCGAGATCCGAGGCAAGAATGGTACGCCCGCCACTTTGTGTGTGGAGCCGAGCCGAGAATTTATGAGTCCCTGTAGTGCTCGTCACCGGTACTTCGATCAACGGAATTGGCTTTGAGACTGCGCGCGCGATTGCGAAGTATGCGGCGCTGGTGGTCATAACTGGGTACAACACTGAGAGGTCAGTATTCCTTCCCTTCATTCGAGCCCTTCAAGTTCTCGTCCTCATTCTTCCCGGTCCCGGGCCTCTAGGCTACGCCTATCGAAGGAGGCAATCCATAAGGAGTTCCCCAGCACCAAAATCCGCACGCTCGAACTTGACCTCTCCTTCGCTGGCGGCGGTTCGCAAGGCTGCAGCGGAGGTGATCGCATATGACGAGCCGCTACACGTGCGCTACGAACGTTCTCGTTGACAACTCATCTCATCCACAATCCAGGTGCTAATCAACAACGCCGCTGCGACCGAGACCGTGTCCGGGCTCACTATCGACAACCTCGAGGTGCAGATGGCCGCGGGGCACATTGCACCGTTTCTCTTCACCAAGCTTGTCTACCCCAAGCTTCAGGGCTCACGGACAACAGACTGGACTCCACGCGTCGTGTTTGTCTCGTCCGACCAACACGCCGCTGGCGATGGCGTCCCCCTCGATAAGGAGACATTCGCACGGGGGACCGGCGCGGCTGCGGATGACCCCGCCCTGGGCCTCTTTGCGCGGTATGGGGCCGTCAAGAGCGCGAATGTGCTCACCGCCCGAGAGATGGCCAAGCGCGGGGCAAGCAAAGTCAGAGCCTACAGTCTGCACCCCGGCTGTGAGCAACAAACTCCTTAGTCTTTCCTCTAATTTATTATTGTGCAGCCATCGTCACGAACGCGTTCAGCAAGGGCTTCAAGGGCGCGCTGGAGCAGCTTGGGATCATTGATGCGGAGGGTAAGCCCGGGACGGTGCTTCCGTTCAAGACGCTTCCGCAGGGCGCTGCCACGTTTGTTTCCATATGAAAGTTTGCACTCGATTGATCATTGAACGCAGGACTGTGGTGGCCGCATTCGATCCCCGCATTGCAGGTGGGTTTTACATTAGATCATTGGTCTTGCTTGTTCACATTCAATGCTATATGCTAGCCCATTCGGGAGAGTTCCTCCAAGATAGTGTCCTTGCCGAAGAGAAGGTCGCGTCGCACAGCGCCGATATGGTTCGTTATATTTGGAGTAGCAGAAAACTAGCGCTAACGGGGCTGGTCTACAGGCCCGCGCAGCCAAACTGTGGGAGCTCACGGAGGACGTCCTCGGGGAGAGATTCGAGCTCTGACCATCGGCCCTTGGGATCTCTCGACCTTGGTCAGATCCACCCACATATCCTGGCATGCGTGATAGCTATTCAAAAACGATGCAAGACCTAAAAACAGATCTCATTCATTAGAAATATTAATTTCTCTGAGCACTAAAACCAATACCGAATGTAATATTGTCCCACTGAGTCCTACTAGTAGTCGTACACCAGCCGCCCATTGAACAGAATTCTCTCGAGTTGCGGACACGCTGCCCTTGTCTTCCGTCCCAACCACTCCCAATCGAGCGGGCCTTCCTCCTCACTGGCCTGCAGCCACTCTGGGGTTGGCGCCTCGGCAACCTTGCGGAACATCTCAACGACGCGCAGCGCCGGGAACTGCGCCACGACGCCCCGGATCGCTCGCGCGTGTTCGCCCGCAGAGCTGCCGGCGGCCCTGTTGCGCTGCGTCAGCACGAGCGCCTCGATCCGCGCTAACACGTGCGCTTCTTCCTCTGATCCGACGGAGAAGCCGCTCGCCTGGTCCCACCAGTCGAGCAGATTCGAGACGCGGAAGTAAAGGATGTGGAGCACCACGCGGAGTTGGGTCGTTGATTGGCCTTGGACCCGGAAAACGGCGCGCAGGGTCTGCGCAGCGGTCCAGTCGTCCACAACCTCGAGCCATTGGCTCAGCAACAGTGTAAGTGTTTGCAGCACCGGCAGTGAGAACTGCGTCCCGGCGAGAGTTGATCCGCAGGGATTGCCGGATCTCCGGATAGCCCGGGATACAAGCCTAGCAGATGCAAGACAACGACCGGAGATGCAGTTAGCTGGGTCAAGTGGTGTTGCGATATCGGTAACGAGGCCGGAGTCGCCAAGAATTTGGGATGCGTTCTGGGAAATACAACGCTTTCCAAGCCCGGAAAGACCCGTCCAATTTCGCGCACCAAGCGGGGCGGGAAATGCGCCTCGCCGCTCGTAAACACTAACTCCGTGATGTTCGGAAATATCGCTTCGGCCAACTCGAGGAACAGCTCCACAGCTGCAGGCTCCCGCGGAGTCGCGATGGAAAGTGCGGTGATGTTCGGCGCGTGCCGTAGCGCTGACGCAATCCAGCGCATGCCCGCGAGGGCGATCAAGCTCTTGTGTGAGATATTCAGCCTCCGGAGCGAGCCGGCGCCGGCCTCTCCCTGTAGGGATAGGGGAAGGTGCTGCGCGCTGAGCGGCCATACTGGCGATTCCGCGCCGTAAGTGATATGTCCCGGTACACGCAGCGGCGGGCCACGGATAGTCAATTCTCGACAGTTCTTGGTGAGTACTGTGTCGATGAGTGAGGCCACCGCTTCTCGACAGCGTGCACGTGTCGTGTGATCAACAATGTTGCTCGGCAGCTCGTACAGGTCGACGAGGGCCACAGAGAACACTTCGATGGAGGGGAAACGGTTAAGGAAAGTAACAAGGCGGCCGATGTCGTGGATAAACCATGAAATCGTGTGGCAGTTGCTGAAGATGCAGGTTAAACTGCGAATTTTGGAGATGAATATGGCAGAGGACAGTGCAGCAAGAACGTCTGCCCCGCGACGCGGGTTGCGGATCTCAAATTCGATGTGCTCCTGGGGATCCTTGATCTTGTTGGCCGCGAAGAAGAGCGGCAGCGCAAGAAGGTTGAGGCGCCGGGAAAGCCGTGAGAGGGCGTAGAGGTCCGCAAGTGAATAAGAGAATATGGTCAGCAACACGTCGTCGGGGAGATCTGTAAACTGCAAAGTTCCTGTGTTGTTGTTGTAAGATTTCCCATCCAGCAGCACCTCCTCCCGCCCTTCATACAGCACTTCTTCAACATGTTGAGCTTCACTTTGGATGACGGACGATATACGTGCTTGATGCGAGTCTGGAGGCAGATTTCCGACGAAAACCACCCGTCGTACCGCAGGAAAGAGTGTAATCCATCGTCCTAGAGTCGTAGGGTTATGCTGTATGCCCACGAAATCAGTAATGCGTAGCCCTACAAAGGCAGAAAACGTGCGCTCCCATAGCGCGCCGTTATTGAGGCAGATGTCCATTGAGTGGCACATTGGCCGCTGACTATTTGGCGTACGCAGAACCTCCATGCCGAGGATCAATGGGTTGGCACCATTGCTAAACCTGCTCTGGAGACTAACGAGGAGCTCGGTGAGGCTGGTAAAGGTGTCGACAAGAACAAATTGGGACATTTCGAGGCGGATGTTAACCACTGATAGTAGTGCAAACGATGCTTGCGCCTCGAGAAGCATGCCGAGGTGGACCGGCGCGGCCGTCAGCACCGTCAAACGGTGGAACGCCGGTGGGGGCCGGCCCATGTCCAACGTGGAAGCCAGAAAGCGACGCATCCGCGTCGGCCTTTTCTGAGTGTCAATATCCGGCTGTTGATTTGGAAGCGCATCCAGCGTGAGGGCCTGCAGTTGGCGAAATTGGCCGAGCCGGTGGAATATGCGCGGCCCAGTGCCGGCGGGAATGCCGACGAGTGACAGCGTTGTAAGCCTCGGCTGCGCCTTGTAAATTTCGGTCAAGAAATCGGCCCAGTTCGCGGTGGTGAGCAGGAGTCGGATGTGGAGCGACGCGATAGGCCGCGACTGGAGGAGCGCCATTGTCGTGGGGCGACAAGCGGGAAACAGCAGCGCAGGGGATTCCATTCGGAGAGTAAGAGGCGTCGAAGTCTTCTGACCATTGAAAGGTTGCGCGCTGCCATAGCGCTGACTGGCATTGCGCATAAGTTCGTCAAGTGGCGTCAATTGCGAAAAACCCTCGTTCTTTGGTGCCGCCACTGTGAGACTCTGCAGCTTGCGGAGAGTGACGGCCGCCATTAGTAGCGCGTTGAGCGCGTCGTCGAGTCGCGCGAATTGCGATGTTGGTATAATCCCAGCAGGCTCAAACGCGACCGGCTCGCTCGGCAGGACAAGGGTCGCTCTATGGACGCCTATTCGCCCAAGCACGCGCGGAAACAGTCGCAACTGGCGCGTCATAATGAAATAACCCGCCCGATGGCGGATTTCTAGCGTGACAATGGCTATCCGCCGCGGAAGCGAGCTGGTCAGGGCGAGTTGCAGCGCTTCTAGCGGGGATAGTAGCCCAAATTCCTGTTGAGCCTCGTCGTCGACAGTAATCCAGCACACGCCATTTACGTCCAGTATGAAACGTTCATCGTGCAGAATGGCCGAAATAATGCGCCTGTGGAGCGGCTTGGATACTGCGAGCAGGGCATAGGTTTCTGCTGTCGACACACACCCCAGGAGATGGCGCAGGACACGTATGGGTGCGGTCTCTAGCGGGAAATATTCGTTATCCACGGCCAGCGCATGGATTCGGCTTACCGATGGACATGGTTGGGATCGAAAAACGTGTAATGACAGGGTGTGAAGATCCTCCATGTGAATGATCGATGACTAACCTACGAGTACTGTACTCCGCTGTATAACTACAACGTAACGCATAACGCGCTATCCGTTCCGTTGTACTTGGTGCGTTACGCAACGCGTAACGCAAGAGCCGTTGTCGAAACCCAAGTGCGTTATGCATCTAGATTTAATCCAAATTTGGCCACGCCACGGTGTAATTTTTCAATTTTGCGCTGAATCAAGCTTCTTTTAAGGCTTCTGCGGCATCTAAACTCCCAAACGGTCCGGAATATGTGCTCAAAATAAAGGTTAACCGATACTCAGGTTGTGCTGTTGGGTCACCGTAACGCGCAACGCTCGACCCGTTGTCCCGTTTCAGGTGCGTTATGATCACGTGACGGTCGTAGTTATACAGAGGAGTACAGTAGGAATACTGAAGTTATCTCAACTCAGGCTCACGGTCACTTGTGTGGTGGTTCTAGCCATGGTAACTAGCTGAATACAATAACAATTTGGACAACCTTGTCCACAATGTATTAAACAGCGATTTGTGGCTCTTGCCCTTGTACTCGTCGTCTGGGTCCTTGTATTCATGTGGCTATTTATTGCTCTTAATACCAGATTTCGTGATTCCTCCCTCAATGTTTTCCCCATACTCCCCCTTCGGCCTGCTCCACGAGAACCAGGACCGGAAGGAGTGCCGGCCTCGGCCGGAGCCTAAGTCCAGCAATATCACCACATCGCCGGTGATCTTCCCACCCTGTCATTACACCATCTCTCTTGGTATGTCCCACCATGAGACCATGACAAGGCCGCCGCAAAACAACTAAATTCCTCTAGATGTCGTCCCCGAGGACATCCTACGCAACCTCCTTAACTTTATCTCCTCACCAGCCGACACGTGTACCTTGCTGGCCGTCTCTAAGCAGCTGCATACGCAACTCATCGCGGCGCTGCTCCACGACCCGCACTTCACGCTGGATGCCACCGGCGCGTGTTTGATTCGGGTTGACTACCGCTCTCCGCTGGTTCACTGGAGAGCGGGGCACATCCTCCCACTGGCAACTCTTATGCTCGCCCAGGCCAGCGCACGGCCACGTATCAACTCTCTCACACTGGACATCGGGCCTGAGCCCCAGGCATGGGGCTCCATGGTAGCGCGCCAGGTCCGACTGCTTGCGCACGTACTCGAGCGGACTGGTGTTCAGAGAGCAACCCTCATTATCCCCAGCAAGCCAGTCGCGTGCGAGCCCCATTATATGGCACGGCTTGCCTGGGAGAACCCTGAACGCGTTGCCCGCTTGCCCGACACGCTCAACGAACTTCTCGCAGCCGCAGCCGCTCTGCCCACTCTCGAGACCCTTCGTATTCAAGCACCGCCCAAGGAGGATCTTTTTGCGTCGATATCGCTTGACAAGGTTATCCGCGACTTGAATAGGGTCCCATTTGAAGACCGTGATATAGTAAATCTCAGGCACAAGAGCCTCCCGGTTATTATCGCCCCCACGTCAGTGCCAATGACTCTCTACCTGCACTCACCAACGCTCATTGTCCCTACTGTGGGAGCAAGAACAATGGCACTCCTCCGCTCGCGGCCGCTTGCGGCGCTGCATGTTCGGTTCACCAACCTCACGATCGCCAACTGGGCGGACATCCTCGTCGACATTCGTAAAGCCCAGCCGACGCTGACGACGCTGGTGCTCCTCGGCATTCCCGCCGGGCCGCGGATACTCCGACGGCTCGGCTTGTTCCCCCACCTGAACACCCTCACTATCGACACGCTATCCGAGAAGATGACATCCGAGTCTACGCGCGGCCTGTTGGGGTTTAAACTTGGTCCCAGCAAACAACCACCAGTTTTCCCGCAGCTAACGGCATTGACCGTGTCCCCGACCCATCTCCGCATGCTCCTTGAAGTATCGGCTTCACTGCCCGCCCTTTCCACCATTACTATTCGTCTCCGGGTGGCCCAGTTCCTCCATATCGACACTTTACACATCCTCAGTGACATGTCCTCTCGCCTGCAGGGCAGTTTCGGCACTGGCGGCAGCCCATTAATGCTTGTGCTGGAAGTGGTGTGCAAGCCGAACAGTCAACGGCCGATGTGTAACTCGATGGATGTCTGCCTTAACAACGAGACGCTGTGGGACGGCGCATTCTCGCGCTTTGAGGAGCTGCGCATAACAGGCTTAATGGGAGACGACAGCCCAACACTGGCACGATGGGTTACACTGTTTCCCACAGCCAGACGTGTCGTGTTTTTCGGAACCTTGCCGCAGGAAGCCCATCGTGGACGCATATCGTCTGTAATCTTAAGGGAGGCACAGCAGATTGATAAAGTGCTCTACGAAGAGGCGCCCGTTAGTGAGGAAGTGTCTCTCCAACCGAAAGCGGGACTCGGAGCTGAATCCTCTGACCCACGGTCTAGAATCCAGTTTACTGACCTCCCAGATGATGTGCTTCTAACAATATTCTCCTGGATGCAGGCGGACCTCTACGCAATGTCACACCTATCTCGGCGTTTAAACATGCTTGCACTGCCGCTTTTTCTTGCAGCTCACAATATCATCAACCCACAAGAAGACATTAAACTGGAGATAGACAACCCGCGTGGGGGTGCTGACATCCTCTCGGCGCTCTCATCAGCGATATTCATCAAAGAGATCAAGAATATCACCTGCGTGTTCAGCAATTGCCAGACAATCTCTTGGTTCATCCATGATATTACCCGCCTCATTGCCTTCCTGACACGTTTTCCGTCCATCGAGGCCTTCTCTGTGACTCTCTTTGACCTGTACAGGCTCCCGAGCGATATTGTGGACCACATAACCTGGGCCCGCTGCCGAGAAGCCGTTGCGGGACTCATTTCCGCTGTGCTTTCGAAGAACTGTCAGAGCCTGGCAATCTATGGCCCTGTGTTCGTCCTACAAGAGCCGGATTCGCTAGCGTGGCCGCTCCATGCGCAGCGCTTACCGCTCTCTCTACAAGCAATGGCCGGTGCCGGCGCCCTCCAAAAGCTGACCATATCGCATCAGAGCCTGGTTGCGCTCGAGGGCCTGCGCTGGATCGCGTCGGCACTGAGATACGCGCCAAATATCACCACGCTTGCCATAACAATACCAGAGCAGCCGCTGGCCGCCAAGCAGCTCATCGAGTTGGCGCGCGGCTTTTTTGCCAACGTTACTGAGCTCATCCTCATGAGCGGAACGGCGCACTTCTCGACTTGGCTGGTGTATCACCTCGGGCGGGCCTTTCCGCGCTTGCAGAGGGTGGTCTTTCCCCACGCGCATCCACACTCTACCGACTATCTCTCAGGCTGCTTCTCGAGTGAACTGCTTATACCCCTATCCAACTTGACTCAGCTGACAGCGTCCCCGGCCGTCGTCCTGGAACTTCTGGGCATGTATCCCGGGAAATCTCCTGCGCAAACTGCAGGCCAACCCCAGCCCCGCCCCAATCTGCTGCCCCGTCTGCAAACACTGACCTTGCTTTTAAGCCAGTCAATCCACGTCCGAGTCCTGGACGGCTGGACAGCCATGCGCGCTCTAAAAGCTCTCTGCCCTGCCCAGAGACAATCCGCGGCGGCGCCGCAGCTCCGCATAGTGCTGCACATTCTCTACTCCCGCGTCACAAACCTGCTCGATTGGTGGCACCAGACGAGCGGCTTTCCCGCCGGATCAGCTGACGAGGTTGTGCCTGCACAGATCGATACGCTCATGCTCACTCACTGCGGCACGGAGGCGGCCGAAATTTCTGCCGCCGACCACGCACGCGCGGTCCTTAGAATCGGGGCGCAATTTCCGGCTTTGCGTGTTCTGGAGATGTTCTGGGCCGGGGCTGCGCCGGAGTGGCCGCAGGAGGACGGCCCGCTTGACTGGGGTAAGCTAGGACGGAAATTGAGGCAAGCGTCTCCACAGTTCGACCGGATTTTGCTCGATGGGCGGGTCGTTTATAGTTACAGCGATTCCTGAATGTAATGACAATGTCACATTTTTTTCGCGCCCCTTCTTAAAAAGGAAACCATGCCTCCATTTGCATTTCTGGTATTGACTGAGCCTCAAACTGCATACAAAATCATAGATGCTGGTAAATAGATGTGCATACACCCTATAATGGCTAACATAGCAGAGTTCTAGTCATTAGATGTAGTTGGTAGAGAGCCAGAATATGTTGTCTAAGCAAGAATGTGTCATGCCGATCAGTGAGCCTCGCGCTCGATAAACCTGTCGCAAACTGACCTACAACCCATCCAGTATCATTGGGGACAAGTGATTTCAGTGTCTACCATAGCTATAGGAAGTATTCAGTGCACTGAAACTATTTGCAGTGCAAATGGAGGCTTGGGAGCTATGATTTCCTTTTTGAGAAGGGGCGCGAAAAAAATGTGACGTTGTCATTACATTCAGGAATCGCTGTAAATATCCCTTTACTAGTAATCATAAGCTGAAGTGCGGAATAAGTACGTGGACAGCTCGACTCGGACTACCTTGTATGTCTACACGTATACCGTCACATCTATATATAAACATCTGTTTGTTGATAGCGGTGTTGCAAACAACTTGAAGTCGCGAAATTACAGGTCAAACTTCTCATCAATTACCTCCTCCGTGAGCTCCCACAGCTTTTTGGCCCGCCGCTGCACAAACCGTCAATGTGATGCTGCAATACTAGTATTATGCACAGGACGGACCGTATCAGCACTGTGCGGTGCGACATTATGTTCCGCGAGCACGCCGTCCTCCAGGTAGGCGCCTGAATGGTCTACAGTTCCGGTCTATCAGTAAGCAAATTAATACCAACGGGGGAAACTCACTAGCAATGCGAGGATCGAATGCTGCCACCACAGTTCTGAAAAAAATTAGCGTCTCAGCCCAATCACGCGATGTTCCTTTTGAAGGTGACCTACGTCGCGGCGCCCTGTGGGATCGTCTTAAATGAGACCACTGTTCCCGGATTTCCCTCGTGGTCGATGACCCCAACCTGCTGCAATGCGTCCTTAAAGCCTTTGCTGAACGCGTTTGTGATAATAGCTGCTATTTGTGAGCGATAACCCCAACGGCAGATTTCGTCGCCCACCACCAGGATGCAGACTATACGCCCGCACTTTGCTGCCCCCGCGTCTGGCCATTTCCCTTGCGGTCAGCACGTTAGCGCTTTTGACGGCTCCGTAGCGCGCAAACATGCGGACGGCGGGGTTGGGATCCGGGCCCCCGTTCCCCCGCATAAACTCCTCCTTCTCAAGAGGCACTCCATCGCCAGCGTTGTGCTGAATTGACGAGACGAAGACGACACGGGGTGTCCAGCCTTGCGCGGCGTCGGCAGAGGCAAGAAGTTTTGAAAAGATGAGCTTGGTGAAGAGGAACGGCGCAATGTGTCCGGAAGCCATCTGGATTTCAAGGTTGTCGACGGTGAGCCCATGAACGGTCTCAGTTGCCGCGGCGTTGTTGATAACGACCTGGAAGACTTTTATGAGTGACAAATGAGGTTACAAGAGCTGAGTTGCGTACATGAATGGATTCGGGATATGCATTGACCTCCGCCGCTGCTTTGCGTACCGCCGCCAACGAGGACAGGTCAAGCTCGAGCGTGCGGACCTCGGTGGCGGGGAACTCGTTCTGAATCGCCTCCTTGGACAGACGCAATCTAGAAGAACATCATAAACATCATCGCATTCCCAAGACAAAAGAGTACTTGCCTCTCAGCGTTGTAGCCCGTGATGACCATGAGGGCCGCGTACTTGGCAATCGCCCGTGCAGTCTCGAATCCAATTCCGCCCACCGATGTGCCGGTGACGAGCACTGCCAAGACACGTCATACAAGGCGCGCCTTCGGGACAGTGGAAACGCACCATTCTTGCCCTGTATTTCACTCGCAAGCGCGTCGACGACCTCCTCAGCGGTCGAAGCAGCGTTGAATGTCGGGAGTTGGTTCGCAGTGGTGGTCATTTGCAGATTCGCAGTTGGTGTTCTCCAGCTCGAACGAGCGTGCTTTTATCCTCGTCGCACTAGCGGTCCGGGTCGCTCGCGGAAAGGCTGCGCTGTGGGATTTCTCAGCCATAGCGATGAGTGAGCGAGGCATGCTGAGTGAGCCAGCCCGCTGACAGACACGGCTCTGCCAAGTCTACTTCTACCCTTATCCGTGTTCAGCGGGCTTGGGAAACATCGGAGTAGATGCTGCATAATTGTGACCGTCGAGACGAAAGAAGAATTTGGCATCACAGCCACCGGCGAGCTCGGGTCATTATGTAATGTTTTGTATCTAAAGTAGAATTTACTTCAAGAGGGAAGCGGGATCTCTATCCAACACCCATCACAGACCACGTGCAGGGGCCCTCCCAAATGAGGACATATATCCGGGATGTGTCGCTACTGCTTACGCATGTCATGACAGACAGTTGATCGGTGGCCACTCTCTCTCACTCTCCCTGCTCGCTCCCTGTTTCCTTTCGTCTGAGTGAAGAAACATAGTTGATGTAATATATCCAAACATACCTAATTTCACTCAAGAATGAACTACGAACGATTGAATCCCTCTTAAATGTGTTTCGGCACTCGTCGGCACCGGAAATCTACAAGGGGAAATGTCTAAGTCACAAGATCTTATGTGGTTGCTTGATAGAGATCCCGGCATCCCTCTTGATTTACTTGTAATAAATAGTAGCACAAAAGTGTGTCCAACCTTGGTAGACAAAACAAAAAAGATTTATAGGAGCTTATCAGCAGCCCCAGTTTTCAGTAACATTAGAGTGCAGATAATAGAGGCTATCATAGGGCTTATTAGCTATAGCAAAAAAGACATTTTTTTTTTCTATGTGTGTCATTTCCGGAAGGAAGCCTAGTATGGTGGTCAAACAATAAAATCAATCTAAAATCTACATACATCGTGTTAAATTTAGAGTTTTCCATAACTTTCTATCATATAGTACACAAAAAACTATTTTCCACAACTTTATTTCCCAAACTTGACCAGAAGATTGTGAAATTCATGTACAATCACTAACACAGAATCCAACTTGGCCAAAAGATCACTACATCAGACACTGATCATATGTGCCTGCACTATATAGCGGCGTTCTGGCTTGCACCCCTATCATGTCACGGCACGTCTCGGCCGGCCGGCCGGCGAGTGCTTTGACTGGGTTACCTCTGCACTGTCAGTTGGCCTCCGGAGTCGCCATTGCCTATTCTGGACTTTTGGTACAAATAATTTTGTAGGAAACTTTTTGACTAGCTAGAGATCTATGGTTATCTTTCAGGGTTGATGGAGATCAAATACTACTGATGTGTGGATGCATTACTCACTCAGGATCTGAAACTGAAATACCAGAGCCCTGGTATGGAGTATCTGAACATATAAGTTACCTACCACACTTTAGTTTAAGTACCAGATAATCCCTTTGTTATGACTGAGAACTAAATACAGTCATCATATGGTATGATAATGATCAAATAGCATGGTAAATTGACGGTACTGCTCAAAACCTTCCTGGTAGTGCTTAAATCATGTATTTATCTCAAGTAGTTATGGAGATAGAGGCACATCAGTTGTGGATCAGGTAGTGATTGGCTTATGCTGGCATAACCATTCAGCTGGGACTATAGGTTACTTAATGAAAGTTGTTTGTGTAGGCACAATATACAACTTTGGCTTTGTGACAATCTGTGACATTCCCTGATGATTCTCCTGTCAAATGGCGAAAATTTCCTTTTTTGGAAATTTGTCACACTATGTGACCCTGTGTAACTGCATGACTCAGGCGCTGAACTGAACACAAGTTACTAGGAGGTTCAATTATTCATTATTATCCATAGCATGATATATCTACATTACAATTTCTAACAAAACCCTTTGTGACGCCACATACCAGTATTAGTTGTTAAGTCCGAGTCTTATACCCCTCAAATTGTTCATCATTATTCATACTATAAGGACTTAGACGAAAAACAAGTGTTGAACTCAACATTATTTATCCTTATATCCAGAAATTATTTATTATTATGGGAAACAATAAAAAAACACCGTAAGCTTATCGGGTCCCATGCAGCGCAATGGACCTGATAACTCACGATGGGGACTGGGACACACAGGTGATCGAAAGACTACTATGGCTAAAAATACTTAGATAACGAAGAAGGATTATAAATTTATAATCTCTTCACTTACAAACTCTACGCACTCGGTGACTACATAGCCAGTATCCTCTGGTTCGGCACCAGCAACTCATACTCGACACAACCTGTCCTGTTCGTGGATTAGTGTTGTCTTCTTGTCAGACTGCGGGTCGGGCCGTGCAAGGACTTCTCCTAAGAACGCGCACCCGGAACAGAACAGACGGATAGTCGGGCCCGCAAGTACGGGGCGGGCGGGGTAGATCGAAACCGAAAGGGCCCGTGAACTCGGTCCCTTGCCGTGGTCGGTGGTCGAAGGTTCGAATCGGGTCGTGTCGGGCCCGATGAGTCGATAGCGTCTCCTCGCACGGAGTAAGGTAGTTCTTCAGACGATCTAAGCGATAGAGTACAGGGTACACTATCGCGCATTATATACGCGGGCCCGCAAAGGGGGTGATCGGACACCCTGGCCCCCCTCCTCCTCCTCCTCGCTCCCGTTCCTGGCCGCAGAGGGGACGATCGCACATCTCTTGCGGGCCAGGCGCTACTCCTGACCTCCTAGCACTCCTCCCCATTCCCCTGGTGTCGAGTTGGGCTCGGCGACGGCTCGACGTGTCGTTCTCGGTCACGTGCTTCCCACGTGTGCGTTCCTCCTACTGGGGCGCATGTTCCCCGTCGTCACGTGCTGCGTGTTACGGGCCCGCAATGGCCCGACACCAGCGCCGGAGCGGACGGGCCGGGTCTTATCCGTGACATCACCCCTCCCTAGGAACGACTCGTCTCGAGTCGGCGTGGCTCGGTCGCCCGGTTTCTCGGGTTTAATTTTGACTCTAGCTCGTCCTTCCAATCGCAAATTCCATCCAGCCCATAAGCTTAAGCTAAGCTTGGCTGCGCATTTTAATCTCCCCGGCTTCTGACGCCTCGTGGCGTCCGCAGATCGATCCTTCCTGTCCATCAAGTGTTTCACCGCGGTCACGTGCGGTATAGCGTAGGTCTTTTTCAATTCAGTTGCGCGTCCTTTGTTCGTATTGCTTGCGAGTAGGCTGTGCTGCGCGCCTCGGTCGAGTTCGATATAGAACGCGTTTGTTCCCCCATATAAGCCGGGGCTTCCCCTTCTAATCCTCTTTATGTCGTCCCCCAACTTGTACCGCTCCGGGTTGTTGCCCCCTCTCAGCTCTCAGATGGTTCCCCCATCCTCAGAGCCGGGTCGTCTGTTCGTCCGCTTCGCCTCTATGTCTCTCGTCGAGTTTCCTGCTTCCTGGCCCATCGCGCAAGGGCGAGACCCGTCGTACCGGGAGTCGTTCGAGCCCCTGCGCCTGTTGGAGGACTTGCCCCCGTCTCAAGCCGACGACTATTCCTCCAAGCTGCTCCCTCTGTTGGCCCCCGTAGTCCGTTCACATCGAGCTCCCGCTCTCCCAGTCCCCCCCGCAGCGCCCCCGCGGCCGTCGTCTTCCCGCCGAATCTTGTGGCAGTGCGAATTCGACCGCCTAATGAAGGCCGGTCTGTGGCAGCCGCTTGTCTTCGGGCCCCATCACCTCTATTTCGGTGTTCTATTCGATGCGTTCCCCTCCTCCTTCGTCTGGCGTCGCGAGGACGGCTCTCTTCAGGATGTTCGCCCTTTGTTTGGACAACTGGGCCGTGGCCTCCTTGCGCACCTCCTCGCTGCCGACGCTGCTTCGCCCAGTGATTCGTTTTTTCCCCGTCTGTGGCGTTGGGTGGTATGTCTCCTTCTCTGTGCGCTTTCGGCCGCGTGCTGACTGGCTCCGTTCAGCGCCTCATCCTTCACGCCTTGTCTTGCGCCGCTTCCGTCGGCCTCCCCTCCTTCGTCTCAGACCGATTCCTCGTCCTAGCCCACGTGGCCGCTTTTCGCGTGTTTCCCGCAGAGAACGTAGCTCGGCCCGATACGCTGGCCCGACTACTGGGTCCTCTCCCTCCATCTCTCGTGCCGCCGTTCCTTCATGCCGACCGGTGGTCGTCCTTCATCCGGGTGGTTTCCTTGCCTGATCCTCGGGAGGAGTTTGCCTTCTCGGGCGGCCCCTCGTTGGATGAGGCGGAAGCGGGTGTTTCGTTCAGCTTCCTCCCGTTGGCGGCCTGGTTGGATGATCAATTTCCGAGCCCCGAGAGTGATCCGGAGGGTTCCGAGTCGACGGCCCGGGTTATGAAGCGCGTTCCCCCTACTCCGGTGGTTCGGGCGCGGTTCGATGGAGGTTGACGTGGAACGGGATGGTGCCCCGCCCGGTTTCGACCCTGCTTTTCCTACCTTCCGACTCGGGTTCGGATTCGGATGTGGAGGTGATCGCCGGCCCTCGTCGTTTGTCTTCGGTGGGGATCGACGCCTCTGAACACGAGTCGGCTACGGATGCCCTCGACCCTTCCTTCTCCCCAGCCGTGTCGCCTGCCCCGTTGCAACGGGATTTCGGCACTACCTATTGCTGATTCTATGCAAAAGATGCTGGCAATTGCTTACCAGGCTAATGCAAAAGATGTCAGGCCCCTTGTATTTGCTGATTTTCTCAATGGAACTGATGCATATGACTAATGTTTTGACATATTATGTCAGGTAAATCACCTTTTCTTCAGGCCGATGACTCGGTATGTAATATTGGAGACTTGATAGGACAGAAACACGGAAATAAATAATGTCTTAAGTAAGATTGATCTAACAGAATTCAGCTATCAAAAGCAGTGATGGCAATCAAAAATCGTTCCACATTAGTCAAAATACCTTATTGCCATCAATCCCATCAATGATATCATCTCCCAGGTGCTAAAAACACAGTAATACTTCTTTGAATAATATATTCTAGGCCCTTGCCATCATATTTTGCATTAGCCTG